TATCCTCTCCATTTGTTCCATAACTCATTTATCCATCCAAATATATGGTCACGATGATCATTCAAGTCAACACTCTCAAATTTATCCTACGATAATTAAAAAGTGAGTTTAAATAAAAAAGGAGAGTGAACATTGTCGGTCAAATATACAAATGTATGTATAAAATTGAGCAAGAAAAAGATGTGCAATAGTGATTAATGTTGGAAATCTAGGAAAAGTAAGTTGTAATACATATAGTAGGTATATGTATTCATGAATCAGTAAACTAAAACTTATTGCATATATGTTGTAATTAACACTGGATGGCAGTTAAGGTGTGAGTGACTGAGTTTTCAGTTCTCGCTTTTAGATATCCATGCTCTTCTTTTTAAATTTCCTAAGGTTTTTGTCTATTTAGATGGCATGAATTCCTTCGGTAAAGACCATTCTAATGGTCTCTGTTTTCATTAACATAGAGCACAAAAAAACTGAATATAAAGACAATGATGATGTAATTCAAAATTGTTACCGTCACAGCTGCCCACATGTGATCGAACTTCTGTTGCTTAATGTCACTCCACGATGATACTCCCAGAGGACACATATTGCAGTCACGAATAATTTTTCCCAAGTGCCTCGAAAACAGATTGCTATTTGTTCCAACCGTTCGATTATTGTAAAATGTTACTTTCAGCTTCGTTCCAGCTTCAAGTGATGCAACTTCTTTACACTTGTTGCTCTCTCGAACTCTTTTTACCTTTCTAGGATTAGATGATCCTACAGTAGTTTAATTTAGTAGAACTGTAGCAATAAAATTTATCTTACAGATTGATAGTGCATGGATTCGTAAATCTTCTTACCTGTTTCAGTTGTTTGGGAGGGCTGCATAACTTGATCAGTAGAACTAGGGGATTTGGTTTGTGTGTACTCTTTCTCAAGGACCAGGGTATTCTTATCGATTTTGGGCAATCCTCTACTAGATTTCAGATTATTTTCAGAAACTCCTAAAGATGAGCAGAAAGATCGAGGTGTTTATTTTCTGTTATATATGGAATAAAAAAACAACAGATTTTTAAAAAAAACCTACTTGTTTCAACTTCTTTGGTACATTGCTTTACTTGATTAGTAAATGAACGAAAGGGAGTAGAAACTTGACTAGAAGACATGGTGGAGTTTTTATGTCCTGTTCCTTGTCCCTTACCAATAGCACATGCATAAAACAAATCACTACTATTTGAATACAATTTCACCGTGACTATTTGACAAAGTATTGTATTGACATTACAAGGAATATGGATAAATTAGCAAAAAGGACACAAGTCATGAAAAAACATACTTGTTTCAACATCATTGATGTATTGCTTAGCTTGTTTGGCAGATGGATGAAATGAAGTATTAACTTGCATATACTCTTTCTCAAGAGACATGGACTTCTCATTTATCGCTCCCTTTTCATGACTAGAAGACATTGGGACGTTGGTAAGATGTTGTTGTCGTCCCTTCTCAATATCACCTGGAGAAAAGTAACACTCATCGATAAATTGATATAAGATAATAGATTGACGAGAGGATATGTATATACTGTAAAGAGAGATCAGAAAGATATATATGCAATTAAGAACTCAACATATATTCAAAAGCTTACTTGTTTCAACTTCTTGGATGTATTGCTTAACAAGATCACTAGATTGAAAAACTAAACTCTTAGCTGGAAATTTTCCTTTTGATGTCAAAGATTTAAGCCCTCGTCCTCTTCCTCTTCCAATTGCCCCAGGCGCAACAAATGAGTATCTGATAGTACTCTTCATAATTGATCCATCCTCATTTTCAGTTTTCATATTGAACCTGCAAAATAGCCAAAAGTATAAGAAAACTTTTTATCTAGTAAACTGAAGAACAGAATATAATTAGTCTTTCAGATAGTTACCAGAGAACGAAAGAATAGAATCAAAGTAATCAAGAATAGAACTTTTTAACAGTAAGTTATTATCAAGAATCAAAAGGAGAAAGCAATCTCGTGACCCCCTCCTCCCAAACAAGAATCATGTGCGACAATATATTGTAGTAATAAAAGAAATCATGTCAGTCAGTTCATAAAAGATACTTAACCTCATCGATCTGTTGTTTTTTGTTTCTTTTGTGAAGGACTTTCTAAGTCAACCACATCATCTTCATCATCCATTTGTTTCCCCATCTCATAGGAATCACGAGGTTGAGTCTTCCTCACTACATGCCAACCTCTGTTGGAATTATCACTAGCATAAAACACTTGAGATGCTTGGTTCGCTAAAACAAAGGGCTCATTTGTTTTCAAAAATCTACTCGGATTCACACTCACGAAGTCATACTCATCTCTTTTAATTCCTTTTATTTTGTCATACACATCAAACCAGTTACAACGGAACAAAATCACTCTTCTATCCGAGATAAATTGCAATTCAATCACATCAGTTAAAATTCCATAGTAATCAACATTCTCACTATTTTTATCATTCTCGCCAACTACAACAACACCACAATTTTGAGTCCTTAACATTTGATCATGATCTTCTACATGAAATCTGTATCCATTAACAATGTAGCCATTAGAATGTGTTGAATATTTAGTAGGACCATGTGAAAGTGAGAGAAGATCTTCCATGAGCCGACTATTATCTGTTTTATGCAATTGTGCAACCTAGAAACAAGATAACATTGAATAGTTCAAAACGATTAGTAAAAATTTAAAATATTGAATCTATTGTTTATATATTTCTCACCCTATCTTTAAACCATTCAATAAATTCTCGGTCCCATTCTGCATCTGACAAGTTTTGAGCATTATCTATATGATTTTGTGCAAACTCTCTACAAAATTGAGGTTAAACATAAATTTCGTGTAGAGACGATATCACCTTAAAGGAAATAAGAAATATAAGACGATATAAACAAACTCTCCATACTCAAGATATGGTATGACTTCATCACAATTCTTCAGAATGTATATATGTGCTTGTTCCAACTCATTAGCTTCAAGCTCACATGGAACTTTAGCTCCCAAATTTTTTCCAGGTGGACAAAATATAGATAAACCCCCATTTGATGTTTTTAAGCCCCCACATAATTTCTTTCAGGCCGATTGAATTTTGTGTCAATTATATGCAGATACCTTGAACATAAGGTCATGCATTCATTTGCAATGTAGCCCTCTGCAATAGAACCTTCTGGACATGCCCTATTACCAATGAGAGATTTCAAAAAAAAAATTACCATCGCTCCACAGGATACATCCACCGATAATGAATCGGTCCAGCAATCTTAGCTTCAGTAGCTAA